CCGCTGCCTCCGAAAAGTCCCTTCCCCCCGTCCGTGTCCCCCCTCCCCCCGGTCGCCCCGTGCTCCTCGGCTCGTCGCGCTGCGGGACTGGCTTGTGTACGCAAAACACACACACACGCAACGCGCACAAAGCGCCCACTTGCACGCTTTGCGGATCCGAAATTTTGTGATCGAGCGCGACGCCGGCACGACGCGTGCACGACCGTCGTCGTCATCGTCGTTGGTTGTGGATAAGCCGGTCTTTTTTTGAAAGGTGCGTTAGCCGAGGGAGAGAGCGAGAGAGAGAGAGAGAGAGAGAGATTGTCTCTGTGAGGGGATGAAATCGTGCGAGGATAGCCTTCCTCGTGACGGGGTCTTCGTCGTGATGTGAGCAGACTCGAATTTCGGCATTTCTGTTGTGTGCACTTTTTCGCCGGCGAAAGCGTATACACACACACACACACACATATACACACGTGCAAACGGTGTGCGGATATTTCGCGGTGGTTGCGCGCCGAACCGCGTCGCGCGGATGCTGCGAAACCGGCCGGAAGATTTCAACGCTCCGATCGGGCGGTTGAGCAATGCCGAGGTCACGCCGGCTATCATGAATAACTCTTTTTCTCTTTTCGCCGCGGTAACGCGTCGTTCTCAGCTCGTCGACTCGGCGAGGCTGTGCGCGTGCGACCTCCTCGCGATCGAGTCTCCGCAGAATCGCGAGTGCGATCGTCGGGACGAGTGCACGGTCTGAATCGCGACGAGACTCGTGTCTCAAAGTGCCTCCGCTGTGTTCGAGGAACCGTCGTCCGGCTGGCTGTCAAAATAATCGCTCGCTCGTCTCCCTCGAGTCGAAATTCCGTGAGTCACGCCGAGTTCGCTAGGGATTTTTCACTTCGTAGATCGAGATGTAACGATCGATACGGACGATCGACGTGGAACGTTTCCTCTCGAATTTGTCGACTCGAAGGTGTCGCGGATTCGCAGGAACGAACGAAGAAACATCGGCTTTTGCAAATCTTCCCAAGACGCGAATAGAATAGTGTCCCGGACGCGACGCGTGAAAATTACGCACGCGGATATTTAACGGCCGGTGTAGCGTAAGATTTTCCGACGGAAGAGTTGAAAGTCGGCGGGAGGAGGGTAGAGGAGTCTCCCGGGGTCGAAAGTTCACGAGGACTTCGACTGCGGCTGCCCGTACGCGTGACTGTCTCTGATGACCCCTGACACCCGCGGGCGATCCGCGTGATCTCGCTTACTCGACGCTGTGTGCCAGCCGAAACTTGATTACTCATACGAGTGAAAACGTTTTCCTCGAGTCCGCCGATCAAATCCCAAATTACCCGATCGCGTCGGACGATCAGACTCGGTCACGTGGCGTTACGTTCTTACAATTGGACGCGGGCTGGCGGATCGAACGACAGCGTCGTCGTCTCTCAGTATTTGCGGAGCGCACTTTATCCGATCGATTATCGGAATTCCCCGTCCGATCGCCGGTTAAACGAGCGCGGTAAATTAAACGACGGTGGTAAATAATGCCGGATTGAAGGAGTCGTCGGGCTAATTCGCTCGAATCAGAGGAGGGGGGGGAGGGGGTGGGCTCGTCGGGCTCGACGTGAACTTCCGCCATCTCGCCGGATAACATCTAATCTCTCGAATCTCGCATCTCATTGAGAATTCACGAGAGGTCCGTTTTCGATTTTACGACGCTCGCGTTCCGTTTCATCTAATTTGCGCATTTACCGGCGTTCGTGACCCGCGATCGTGACCCGACCGTGTGTCGGCTCGTCGTCTCGTCCTGAGATCAAATTCACCGTAGGATCCTCACCGGGGGATCCGTAACGATGGCAGGCTCGAAGCGGGGCCGGCGCGTGTGCTTCCCTTTCGTCCGCGAGCGAGCGTGCTCTCTCTCTTTCTCACGCACCGCCAATGCGGCTGAGATCGCGCAATCCCATTGGCTGCCACCGTGCCGTGGTGTCGGCGATGGGTACGTCCAGGTTCGATGCTCGTGCCCGACCGAGGAGTCGTGCGCGTGCTTCCTCGTTTTTTCCTGCGAGACCGTTCAACCAGTTCGGGCCAGGTGTTCGCGGAGCGGAGGAGGCGCCCAGGACTTCCCCGAGTGCCTCCGTCGACGTCCGTGCACGATCGTCCGGTATTATCGCGGTGGTGCGGAAAAGCTCGTCGGAAAGCACGGTGTGCTCGCGTGTGCTCCGTGTTATTTTAATTTCGCGCGCGAGTGCGCCCGCCTTTCGCCCTCGCGCGTCTTTGTAATACACTTAGGCGAGTCCGAAGGGAAGAGGCGGGGATTTTCGGGGACCCAAAGATCCATGAGAACATTACGAGTCGCATTACGGGATCTCGAGGGGTAGAGGATTTCGAAAGGCGAACGCTCGAGGAGGAGAGAAATCTGACGAGTCGTCGTCGTCGTCGTTAGGAATTCGGGTATCGCGGAATCTGAAAATTCCGGAAAAGCCCGTAGGCTCGAGTCGGCAGATTGTGATTCGCGACTGGACGAAGTCCGGGTATCTTGAGTCGCGGTACGTTCGACGAGCGAACGGGAAATCCGTTTCACAACAGGTTTCCCAAGTCTGCACGAACGAACGTTGACGCGGATGAACGGATCTCGCTTACTCGTGCGAATGACGTCCGTGAGGAAGACGGAGAGCGGCTGGTCGCTTGTCGAGTAAATTCCAGACCTTCTTTGCACCCCCGATATCTTACATACCGATTTCGTCCGACGAATCGCGGAGGCTCTCCCGCGATCTCGGCTGATCGGACGTTCGCGCGATACGCCGCCCTTGAAATTATTACTTCTCGCATCTTCGTCCTCTCGGACTGCTACCTACGACCAACCGTAGGGAGGTTCGCCAGTCCTTGAAATCGACATCTCGCAAATATCTCTCACGTTATACATACATACACGCCGGTCTCGCGTCATAATCTACGCCGACTGGCTTCAGGCCAGTAAACGGAAGAACGCGCGAAATTGGGGAAAGGGCGGACGAAGGGAGGCACGGGGGAGGGAGGAGGGTGAGGAGGGGGGTTGAATCGGCGGAGGGCGGCAGCGTGATGTTTCGTCAATGAGGGAGAATGGGAAAGAGGAAAAGGGAGAGAGAAAGGGGGAGCGTGTGCGCGCGCGGTGATTCGCGCGGTGAGTTTCGTTTTGTGACGTGTGATTTTTCCACGGCTGTGTACAGCGGGATGATGCGACGCTACGGCAACGCGAGGTGTCGAGCCGACGGCTGAGGATCGAGAGATCGCGAGACCCTCCGCGATCCTTCCGCCGAGGATTTCGCGGAGAGCCGCGTCGGCCACGCGCGCGCCTGTGGAACGAAAGTGTGCAGTGTACGTCCTCGAACGCCGCGAACGTCGTCGTCGTCGGCTGCACCTGCAGGGGTGCATTGATCCGGCGGTGAGGT